CCGCCAGCCTCCCTGACCTGCTCCTGCAGCTCCTGCAGCCCTGAATGCAGCTTTTCCCCACCACCACTCCCAGAGCAGCCAGCACCCTCACCTCTGGCAGGGCATAGAAGGTGCAAGTGTTCATAAGGACAGCCCTGCCCAGACCCTCACTGAACTGCTCACATCAATATTGCCCCCCACAAAACCTCCCCACCCCACCCCTGGATCCCCCCCACTAACCCGCTTCACACTTGGATCCTGCCTTGCTTGCCTGCCTGCCCGCATCTGGTGCACCTGGTATGGAGGGGCTGGGCCAGAGGGTAATTCTGGGGCAAGCCCAGACCTTCTGTAGCATCAGGGTAGGGTGCAGTCTCACCACTGAGTCCCTGTCCTGGGGTGGGGTGGGGACAGCAGAATGATCTCCACCTCCATTGCAGCCAGTGGCCTACGCTCCCCCCTGCCATGTTGGGGCCTTCACATTTATTTATTGACAAATAAAATATGGATAATTTTGCAGAATTTAAAAATATCGTAGGCAGATTTTTTACTTTTTGCTGTGGCAGAATTCCCTCGGGGAATGTTTGCAGGCACATGCACATACTGAGTAATCCCTAAGGAAGATGGCTGTTCCTTCATCCTGCTCTCCTATCTGCCTGCTGCCATTGGCAACTCCCTTTCTCTCCCCCCAGGCTGCCGACTATCCTAGAAACTAGAGGAGCACATGCTGTTCCTAGTGGCACCATGGATTTTGGATGGTAAAATTCTCCTTGGTGCTTAGAGACCATGCTGTGGAGTGTGGTTGCTCTTCAGGTCTCCCCCTCACTCAATGTTCCCTCTAATCTTTTCCATCCATGTAAGGAATACATTTTGTTATGTGCACCGAGGCATGTCTGATTGTGTACCATGAGGAGAAACAAAAACCCAGCTGTGGATGCTCTGCTAATCAGTTGGGTGGCACTGGAATTTCTCCTGAGTGGTTGCACAATCACATAGCTTACACAGAACTCTGCTCCCTCCCGCCCCTCCTTGCCCCATGTCCTGGACTTACCTCAACAATGGGTAGGAGATAGGAAACACAATAGACGGAAGACAATGCAATTAGAGTTCTGAGCACACAACACTGGCCCTAATCATCCCACCCAGGCTAACAGAGGATTTAGCAGACAGTGGATTCACTGTTTTTCTCCCTATCACCCTTTGCTCCAGATTTCCAGTTTTCTTCTATCCAGCCAAACAAGAGAAAAATCCTGTAGCCCTGAATGTGGGTGCTGACCCCTGCTCTGCAGTCTTTTGAGTAAGACGCAGGGTGGGGAAGCTCATTGACTTTGGGGTATGTTTGTAACAGGCACGGCAGAGGAAGGATGAGTGTATTTAGATCTGATTTTCATAAACCCACATATGAGGGAGCATGGATGGGAAACCGGAGAATTTGTAGTTAACAGATGTACATAGGAAAGCAAACAGCTGCTATATTTAGAAAGCTGTAACCAGGCTGAGTATATCACCAGGTAGGCAATCATTTTCTTTCTACAATAAAGCCACATTAAACAGTGCCTGTGGAACTCTCCTGAAAGGCCAAGCCTTCTGAGGTTAGCTGAGGTTTATGATATCTAGTGTGGGTACTATTACAGAGCAGCATCACCTCATGTTGAATTAGTGAGCACGTCTTTCAGGTAAGGTGTTAAACCAAGAACCCCCATCCACTTCCAGCTGGCCAAAAGGGAGTTAAAGATCTCAATACTAAAACACCCAAAGTAGGTTATCTGTCTAATGTACCTATATGGCCCCTAATGCTGCAGTATCTGTGCTTGTCACTAACCTTGTAATGTGTTTACCCTCATGACACTCCTGCGAGGTGGGGAAATGAGGCAAAGAGAGACTATGTGACTCACCTCAGGTCACACAGGAAGTATGTGGCAGAGAAGGGCATTGATTGTGGATCTTCCAATTCCTAAGCTAAGACCCTAGTCACAGTACTGACTTTCATTTTTCTGGGTGGATGTTCCACCCCTGCTCTGCCCCGAGGCTCCACCTCCCTCCGCCCCTTTCCCCAAGGATCTACCCTTATTCTGGCTCTTCCCACTCCTACTCCACCACGCCCTAAGCACCTCCTGCTCACAGCTGATTCGCAGGTGGCTAGTAGGTGCTGAGCACACACTATTTTTTTCCAGGGGTCCTACAGTCTTGGAGCATCTATGGAGTCGGCCCCTTATGACCCTAGCCACTGGACCATCTTCCAAGCCAACATGACCCCACTCTCAGTTTCACTGGCTTTAACATCCAGCACTTGGCTTGAGCCCATTTCAACACAGCAGCATAACATGGGACACATAAGTGCCATGTGAGAAGTGTCAAGCAGCATAAGCAGCACAGAGGAACCTGATTCTGCATTAACAAGAGGGCTACTGCTTGGCCAAGTTACTGCTGCCTAGTAGCAAGAATACAGGCAGAGAAGGGAGCAGTTTATGTGCATGCTGGGGATCACACTTAGAGTGTCTCTGAGCAGAGATGAATGTTTCTCATTTCATTCCCCACCTGGCTTTTACCTGGCATTCTTGCAAATAAAAGAGAGGGTCCCAAAGGATCTAGAGAAGTTAATATATATGCAGCGAGTCACCTTTTGTGCTTAATCTATCCCCACAAGTAAATCCCCTCCCACTTGCGTTAAAGCACAATAAGCTCATGCTACCTATTGGGCACCTCTCAAGAATGTGCATGGTTAAGGGCCATGAAATCACATAAAAGCTAGCCTTACTGCCTGCAACAGACTCACTACTCAGTCAGGTGCTGTGAGATTATTCAAATAGGAAAGGCATATTGTTAAACTAAGTTCTCTTGCACAAGGATATTTGGCGGATGATTTACACACTATCACTGCACAAAATGCAAATGACATTTTAATATTGGGAGAAGAACACTGAAAATGTCCCAGATTGGTTCCCCAGAAAGGCTCAGGAAAGACGGAAGAACTCTGCACAAGGGGCCTCCTTTGTCTCGGTGTTAATATTGGGTACAAGTTGTGAGAGTTTCCCCGCTCTCTTAGAAAAATCTGGAAAATGCCAGCATTCTCCGGATTAATCACCTGCATTCTCTGGATTAAACACATTCCTACATTTTTAAAGAGTACCATGAGTCAGCCCATGATGACATAAGAACCACAGAGAATGTGGTGGGCAAAGAATGTTAAAAATAACCCTCTGTAAATACAAGATGGATTTGTGCTTGTTTGCAGCCGGGAGTGGTCCACAAGCAGCCCACAGTCTCAAAGAACATACAGGTGATTCCAATCCTGGGAAAATTGGGACGTTATAAACTGCTGTGTAAAAATAGCGTCTATCTTTGCTTCCCTTTTAACAAGATTAGTCTTGCTTTTCTCTCTGTCTTTATTTTGCTGTCTACTGGCCACCTCTTCACTCTCACACTAATGTGATTAGCTGGGCATATGGACCATACTGGGAGTGACTGTCACAAAGATCTCTGCTTACTTGAGTGCACCTCTTTCCTGAATGAAACATCTTGTGTTTATAGTCACAGGGGGTATTGTTAACTCTTGGATTCTAATAGAAAGGGATATTTACAATCCCTCCATAAAAGTTGATTCAGGGAGACATTTAGGGAAAAAAACAGACAGAAGACAGATGTATTTCCTACCACAGATGCTGAGGAGGGTCAATTGTACTGCATATGTAATGACTTTTTATGGTTCCTTACAAATGCTCTTTTACACTGCTAAAAAAGTGCCAAAGTCAAATATGTGTGGTCACTCACCGCAGACAATTTAGAAACTTTACAGGACACTACAGATTTATACCTTGTTAAATATGTTGAGATGGACCTTCTGTTTGTGTGTGTGTATAAAATCAAATCATGAAGGAGAGTTTCTTACAGTGCCAAATTGCTGGCATATTATTGTGATTTCTAATGTCTTCACTGCTGTGTAATTCTCATTTCCCCTAGATCTTACCTTGAGTCTTCTGCAGCTTGTTTGCTATCATTTCTGTCTGCTTAAGGAATTTTCATGGATTTGTTGGGAGAGGTGCACTGTGTTGGTCTTAAGTGTACTTGGGTTAAGAAAGGCTGCTCAGATATGAGCTATACAAAATAGGTGATCAGTCAATAAAACAAAGCCTGAATATAGGCAGGAAAAGAGAGAAGGAAGATGCCAAGTTGTGACAAGACAAGCAAATATGTGGGAAATATATATATTAAAAAGGCAAATTGGCATATGCTGTTTACAACAGCTGATAATGGAATACAGAAAAATGAAATCTATATTGTACCGAGCGAGCCCAGAAACACCCAATGATTTCAGTGAGAGGTTTGACTAAGAGCTACACTGCTGAGCCCTTTGTGAATATTTACAAAACAGCAGACTGATCATATTTATTTCTAACCTTGGCAAGTAAAGTCTCAGTAATCTCATGAATAGCTAGCTGTGCATTGTCAGAGATGAAAGATATAATTTACATAACACATAATTGTACAGTTATAACAAATGGGCTAGTTTTGTCTACCCCAGTTTTCATCTCTGACTCCTCTTTCATCAGCTTGCGCTGCTTGTTACCAACACTCTTCTACCTAGAATTTTCTAAGAATTCTCTTGACATATGTAGAGTGCAATATGTTTCATAATTTTAATTCAATCCTAATACCATTCCATTTCTTACTTGGGGTTTGTACAGCACCTAGCACAATGGAACTCTGATCCATCATTCCAGCTTCTGCTGCTTCAATACACATAATAATAATGTTTTTAAAATATATTGCATTATATCTATGAGCATATTAGGAGAATGTGAACAGGATGAAGCTGGGGATGTGATGCATTCCTCACTTTGTTTTGTGGACTATAGCTAAACAATTCTAAGTGACCGGTGATTTTTAAGCAGAAAGAAATAATAGAGGTTTCAGCAGGGCTAACTCAAACCTTTGTAGGACTCTATATGGAGTTTAAACCCAACTAACTCCCTCCCCATTTATGTCCAGGACCCTTCACTTCTGTGTAACCTATTGTTAAAGACTAAGACACAAATCATGAGTAGACAAATGATTTTCAGGTGCATGAGCTGGGACTGCCTATCTGAGACTTTACCAACCCAATAAGATGGGTCCAGAGGTAAACTGATGCGACTATAACACTCCTATATGGATCTAGCTGTCATGCTGCCTCCTTGATACACATATGTACTTTTCAATAAATACATGGCACTGATGACTATCCCACTCACTGTGGATAAAACAAGGAGGGGTTGAAACTGGACGTTCTCTGTGGCAAAAAAAAAAAAAAAAAAGAAAAAAGAAAAAAAAGAGATCTTCATTTTGTACTAGGTGCTGAGATAATACTGTGGGGAGCACATTAGAAATAAAAGAGAAAATCTGATCCATTGTTGCAATCTTCCCAGAATGTTAGCTTGTGTGATGAAATTAAATTAGAAAAAAAATGTGGGCCCAACTCTTTTAGTTACGTTGTATGTGCTGCCACACAGCTCCAGAGTTATATCAGCATCACTATTTGACATCTTACTAACCAAGCACAAATGCATTATATAAATGGCTCAGAGATGCCTTTGATTTTATGCAGCTGTCTTTACAAGGGCTTGAATTCAAAGTATGGATTCAGTCTGAAGGCGTAATCATGCAGTACCAATTTAGGCAAAATTCTCATTAATTTCAATCAATAAATAAGAACATTGGATTAGGTCTTATTTGTGCATATATATTTTTTAATCTAAACATGTGTGTGACACCAGAAACAATCATTGCTTCATTCCCATGTCATAAGACATTGACCATTCATTATCCATATCTCCTCCTGTCTAGAAAGAAAACAGACCATTCTTATGGATGTTTTCTTTCCCCAGGTAAATAATTAATAAATGAAACAACAAACTGCTGCTTGTCTAGTGCACACATACAACAAATGGTACTTTCTTTGTCTGGAAATGAGCCTAGCAAAATCTCATGGGAACAAGAGAAGTCTTAAAAAAGCCAAACTGTGGCTGCTGGAAAAAATCTTGACTGAAATGACTGGGACAGACAAGTTTGACAAAGGTTTGAGTAATCTTTTGGTGTTTTGCTTTGGCAATTAATTGGTGAAAAGCCAAAGTCAGTCAGTCTATTTTTCTCTCTTTAGTTCTAGAAGAGCATAGTTCCAATTCCACCAAGTTTTCTTTAATACATTTGGTTAATGTTCATCTTGGCCTGGTCACTTGTTCAACATTCTTGAATTAAGCTGATGACCCAAGATAGTGAGAAGAAATGGCACCAAGGATACACCCTGCAATCCATTCACCAAATCAGAGATGTGCCAAAGCTGCAAAGTTGGGATATTTCAGAGAAAAGCAAGGGTTCTTTTTATACACGCTTTGAGAGGCTTGTCTAGCCATCAGTAACAGGAGGTGTATATTCAATGTAAAAATATATGATAAATTGGCATAAGGAAAAATGCTAATGCCCACACAGATATGACGTGTCTGTTTAGGTTCATTCCCATCACTATAGCATCTTATCTTACTCCCCCAAAATGTATATTTTTTAAATCACATACTCATATTTTGGGCCAAATTCTGCCTTTAGCGGCATGTGTAGCTCCCATTAATTTTGGGAAAAGTGTCCAATCATTTCATTTGAGAAAATATTTATATTTTCCTTTTTGATGTGAGAAGGACAGTTACATTGTAAAGTGGCCTTTCATAATGAAATGTATTCTTTTAGTGATGGCCTGGAAATCTGCTGTTAGCTAGGTCACAGACTGCTGCTTTACATCTGTCTGCCAGCGTTCTTGTTATCCTGTAAACAGACACAGGGAGCCCAATCCAACTTCCATCAAAGTCAATGGAAGAATTTGGGAGCTGGACCAGGCTCAGAGGCATTGTGGGTAAGAGAAGGGAAGTCAAATTTCAAGTCTACCTGGTTCTTATGCAATTGCCCTGAAATACTGCACCGAGTACCAGAAAGGTATGGATAGTTTAGATAGGATTCTGAAAGGAAGAACAGAAGGATTAGTAAAAATAGTTAAATATGAACAATCAATCACTGTGAACAACCCAGAGCTCTGCGTAGGGGCCTGCTCAAGTAGAGTCATTGCAAGATGAGGGTCTTAGTTGTCTTCTAGCTATAAGATACGTATTTGAAATTGTTTAATCTTTTCCCAAATTCAAGCTCTCCCCTGCCTTAAATCATTTGTTTCCCTTTTATCTCAGTTGCTTACCAGTGCCATTGGCCATGCTAAGAGTTGCTCCTGACAGCCCAGAGTCTGTATTGCTGGCAGCCCTGCATGCATCAGGGGACACAGCCCAGCCATAAAGACCAGCTGCTGGAAGCAGTTTGGAAATTAAGACAGAAGTAAGTTCTTGGCCATAAAAGGTTGCTCCAGGCTGAATTTCATTGAACAAGGTGTCAGCTCCAAAAGGTTTTTTTCTGCCCGTTGTCATAAAAGGTAGTTTAACCACCTTTAAGTTTCAGGAGATGTACATGTGGGGGGAGGAGGATTGTGGGATATGAGAAAAAAAAGAGTAGCTCAGTATATGTGACTGTCTTAGCTCAGTTTTATAGGCGCTCCTCTCACTTACTGGTTTTATACTGACATCTTTATTGTGCTCACTGGTTCAAGGGATCAGAGAATTAGGTTCATATAAATTAGACTTGAGGACTGATTTTTCACTTAAAAAAAAAAGGTAAAATAAAGGCAACAATTTTCAAATGCAGCTGTCTAAATTAGGGCTTTAAAGCCATAGTGCAGCATTTTATTATAGATATTTAGATAGATTTGGCTTTGGGAGAGTAGCTTTAGGGGACCAAACTTGAAAATCTGACCAAAGATAGCAAATACATTCTGAACCTCCTTATATTGGCTTAGTATGACCATATGTCCCATTTTTGCCGGAACAGTCCTTTTATTAAGCCCTGTCCTGGCCATCCTGGATTTTTTTGACAAAAGTAGGGTATGGAGGAATGTGCAAGAGTGGGAGTCACAAGCAGCAATGCAAGTCCCTCATGGCGGGGGAAGAAGCAGGGATCAGACAAGTAGCAACACAGCCCTAGCCACATGGGGGAGATGCTCCTTGGGTGAGTGGCTCAGGCCAGCCTCATATAGGAGAGGGGGAAGGCTAGCCAAGAGAAGGTGGGTGCATAACTGGCTGGATAACTGTTTCCAGAGAGTAGTTATGAATGGTTGACAGTCATGCTGGAAAGGTATGATGAGTGGGGTTCTGCAGGGATCAGTTCTGAGTCTAGTTCTGTTGAATATTTTATCAACTATTTAGATAATGGCATAGAGAGTCACTTATAAAGTTTGTGAATGATACCAAGTGGGGAGGAGCGGCAAGTGCTTTGGAAGATAGAGTCATAAATTCAAAATGATCTGAAGAAACTGGAAAAATGGTCTGAGGCAAATAGGATGAAATTCAATAAGGCAAATGCAAAGTACTCCACTTAGGAAGGAACAATCATTTGTGCACATACAGAATGGGAACTGACTGTCTAGGAAGAAGTACTGCAGAAAGGGATCCAGAGGTCTTAGTGGACCACAAGCTAAATATGAGCCAACAGTATGACGTTGTTGCAAAAAAAGCGAACATCATTCTGGGATGTTGTCAAGGCTGTTCCCCCCTCTGGCACTTCAAGTGCAGAAAGTGGGGGGCCACAAGAGACTTTAAAATATCCTGCCACTAAAGCCTTCTGCTAAAAACTTTTCAAGGTCACAGATTCCCTGAGTTTGGATTGGTATTGCTGCCACCACCCAAATGCAAAAACTCATTTGAGAACCCAGGAAGATGCATTTGGGAATTTCTTATTGGGGGGGTACCCTCAAGCTTTTTATCCCTCCCTCTGGAAAGAGATTTAAAAAAACCTGTAATTTTTCTTAATAGATGGCTTTCCAATTTTAGAAACATGCACATAGAACTTCCTGCCTTCTAAGACTCAGAAATCAGATCATGGTCTTAAAAAGGTGATTTTTATTAACAAAACAAAGACGACAAACCTGGTGAGCCATTACTCGGTTTCTAGGTATTATAGAGCAACTGAAAAATGATTAAAACACAGATAATTGCTTCCCTGAGATTCAGTTTGGAAAGATATTGAGTAAGGGGAGTTATATGTTCTCAGCACAGAGAAGTACAACAAACCCAAAATTAAAAAAAATAATCTGATTGTGTCTGACTAAACATTCCATGTTCTACTCACATATCTGTTGTTCCAAGGTTTAGTCCTTCCCTATGCATGGATGTCCCTGGATCCTCCATGCCCTACTCCCTGGCTCAGTTATTGCCTTTCAGCCCTCCTCCAGTCACACAAAGACTGGAACAGGAAGGTCTCTGCTTCCCAGTCAAAAACCCACACTGTTTTCACTGGCTCTCCTGGCTTCCTGCCAGCTCACTTCCTGTTTCTCTAGCATTCCTGTAGACTTTCTAGGGCCTGGTATCTATGGTTTTTAACTCATATAAGCAATTTAGTTAACTGTATTAGTTAATATCCAGGAAAAAATAAATGAACAGAATGTTAGGAATCATTTAAAAAGGGATAGAGAATAAGAGAATATTTTATATTGAATACTGTGTGCAGCTGTGGTCACGTTATCTCAAAAAAAGATAACTTCAGAAAAGGGAAACAAAAATGATTAGGGGTTTGGAATGGCTGCCATATGATGAGAGATTGATAAAACTGGAACTTTTCAGTTAAGAAAAGATTAAACTTAGGAGGGACATGACAGAGATCTATAAAATCATGACTGGTGTGGAGAAAGTGACAAGGAAAAGTTATATACTTGCTTCCATAATAACTAGGGGTCACCAAATGAAATGAATAGGTAGCAGATTTAAAGCAAACAAAAGGAAGTTTTTATTCACACAGCTTAGTCAACCTTATGGAATTCCTTGTCAGAGGACATTGTTAAGACCAGGTCTGTAACAGGATTCAGAGAAGAACTAGATACATTCATGAAGGATAGGTCCATCAATGGCTATTAGCCAGGATGGGCAGGAATGGCGTCCCTTTCCTCTTTGTCAGAGTGTGGGAATGGGTGATGAGATGGATCACTTGACGATTACCTTACCTGTTCTGTTCATTCCTTCTGGGGCACCTGGCATTGGACACGGTCGGAAGACAGGCTACTGGGCTAGCTGGGCCTTTGGTCTGACCCAGTATGGCTGTTCTTATGTTCTTGACCCCTGCTGCCAGCACCAGGTCTGGACGCTGTGGCACTCGGGGGAAAGGTTTTGGAGGAAGAGGTGGAGTGGGAGCAGGGTGAACAGAGCAGAGATGGGAAGGGGGCAGAGCAGAGGCAAAGCAGAGGAGCAGAGCAGAGGAGCAGAGCAGAGGTGAACAATCATAGCTACTCAACATGGACTACAAAATCATGTAATAAGAAAGGAGAGAACTGTGAAGATGTCACTCCTTAAGCTGTAGTACATGAATCCTAATTCTCTTTCAGTCCTCACAGAGTGTCCTTGAGGAGAACACTTCCTCTAGCAAAGCCATGAATGTCTCTGTGTTTGTCTCTGCCCTGCACCTGGCTGATGTCAGGGTCTCTCTGGGAGATCACCTGTTCCCCACCAATAGGTTGAGGTCCTGCAAAAGGCCTTTGTGAGATCACTGCCACAACCACTCCCTTCCCTTGCAAGTCTTAAGTCTTACCTCTGGCCAGCCTGTTTGGGTACATTGAATGATCAGAATAAAGTGCTCTCAGATGAGCTATAGACCACTGGTCCCAAACACTGTGCCTGTGGGCACCATGGCACCCGCAGGGGCATTTGTGTGCACCCGCCACGTACTCGGGGCTGGCCTGACCCTGGGCACGTGGCGCATGCATGGTGCCAGAGCCGGCCCCGGGCGCATGGCGCACGGTGAGCGCCGGCCCCAGGAGCACAGG